GAGAGTTGTATTTTAAACAAATAACATGTCACAGCAGTACTATTATAGGCAGCTAAGTCAGGTAGAAATTAATTGGCAGTCAAATAGGGACAGGCCCCCGAGTAAGTCAGTGTACAAGATGAGAACACATCACAACTGGGGCTGGAGGCACATCTAAAGAATGTGAGGCCTTGAGATTAAAGCCACAGTTGTCAGACTTGGATATTTCTCTAAGGGATGAATGGAAATTTGAGATTATTTCGTAATTGTTACCACCCACTCCATTAAATCCAGATATGCATCAGGCTCCTGGATGGGTGACTAGAATACCTGGACCTATCCCTTCCCCATAGTGTTCCTGTTTTAGGGATCACAGACAAGCCAAGGTTAACAGCATAGACCATATACCCTGGTTACATGCCCTGGTGTCCTATTGGATCAATATTAGATAAATAGATGTACTGGTAATCTTACTGGTTGATTATCATTTGACCCACAGTGTACTTGCACTGTAACTCTGCTATATAAATTATCCCTGACAATGGCCTTCTATGGCAACTCCTCCTGTCTCTCAGGAGGTGTTCCTGTTCCCCAATAAACCTTCCTTGCTCTAAACCTCCTTTGTTCTTTGGAATTCATTCTTCAATTTCAGGGGACATGAAGTCTGGACATCTGACATCTAGTAAGTTGGGAGTTATATTTCTCCTATATGGGTACAATACCAATGGCATAATAATATGGCCTTCATCTAATTTATTTTCCTTAGGGCATTTAACTTTTTAACACTAAAATCTCAATGTTTCATTTCTTTTCCATCTGGAACTATAGTGTTTGAGAGTTGGTTTAAGCTGCCTCAATTACCTACAGTCTAAGTTTCGCATGGATTTGAATTGATCAGAAGTCTAAGGCATTAATCAACAAACTGCCTTGTAGAAGGACAGTTAAAGATATTTGACTCAACTCTGTGTTGATATATGTAAGCAGCCATAAAATATGTAAATTTAAAAGGATGGCTATGATTTTTTAAAAATCATTTTTATAGGCTCTAAAATTTGCATATCATATGATTTCATGCATCAGGAAATACTATTCTAATTTTTCAATTACTTAAAAACATGAAACCATATGTGATTCATGTGCCATACAAACAATGGTGATAGACTGGATTTCACTCAAAGGAAGTAGCTTTTAAGCCAAAACCCTATTCAATTTCATGTTCTGTTGTGAATATATTCATAAAAATACTGGATTTTTTTGTGTGTTTTGGGTTTTTTTTCTTGGCGTATAAACAGGTAATAAAAACAGTATTTTTAGAATATGTAACTCTGAGAGTTATGTTTTTACTTTACTTCTGTCCTACATATTCTTATTGCCTTTTTATAAGGGTAGGAAGAATTTATTACGACAAAGATAGCTTCTGTTGAAGAGGGACAGAAGGCTCAGAAACTGGGTTGCCTCTCTCACTGCCTGTGTTACTTAGATTGAGTAAAGGTAAATGGTATATATTAGCACATGGAAGATCTTTCACATTTCAGTTATCTCTCCAGAAGCTATTTCTTCTCTTAGAGGCAAATCCTCTTTGATATTCAACATTTCATTTTCATTTGGCTTCAGATTTAGAAATTTCTCAGGCAGGCACTATGTGACATAGGAGTTAACCATTTTCTTTGGTCTTTGGTTAAAATTTTTTTTTTCCAAAACTGTATTTAATTAGTGTGTACCTTGTAAGTTTACTGAACTCTGCTTGTGCTGTGAAATCAACTAATACAAACAAATTGGGTGGGTTGATTTATTAATTGGTTCTCCTAAATATTTAGAAGAGAACATTTCCCTCAACTTTACTTTCTGATGTCAATTCTCTGATTTTTCTCAAGTGTTGTGGATGTTTTTAAGCACCTAAACTTTTTAAATTGTCTCATGTATTTGCTGAATTGTATTTCCTTTCTATAATCTTTACTGTCTGTTTTAAATTTCAGTCTATATCGATAGCCTGATTCACAAGAAAGGACTGCGATGCAAATGGAACTTTAAATAGTTTCACAATAGCCAAATGGAGTTTACTTGGATATAGGTAATAGAAACTGTCAACTTTTACTTTCTACAATCTTTCTCAGTAAGACCAGTTAATTTCTACTTAGCAATGACTATTACCTTTCACACCTCCACCACATTCAAAATCTAGGGTAAAGGGAAAAAATGAGAACCAAAATCTGCCATACAAAGGTACAAGATCCCAATGATGAATGTCACTGTACTGTATACTTAAAAGGTACCAATAAACTCAATTAAAGAGAAAAAAATCTAGAACTTCTTCAATCCATCTGCATCAAATTTCTAACAGTTTGTGTCCTAAGAAAATCTAAAGGGATGTTCCTTTGCAGAGTTATTCCTAGCAAAATTACTTTGGCTTCCTGGTCTTTGCAATTTGAAGAGTTTTTTCTCCTCCTTAATCCTTTTGCAAGTTTTCCAGGAGCTTCTCTTTTGCACAGCATTCTAAAGTGAAGCCCCAGATAAATGGTTAAGATGCTAACTGCTAAATAATCATTATTTAGATTTACTGGACCAGAATATCCAGTGAACTTTAAAACGTTCCTCTCTAGTCTTTAGTTCTTTCCATCCACTAACACAAACATGTAAGTTGCTGTGAAGTTTAACTTGAAGAAAAGTAATAGGTCTGTTAAAAAAACAAAAAAACTGTAGGTGCTACCCCAAGGAGGCTGAAGCCTGTTGTGATGTTACAGAGAATAAAACTGAAGATGCCCTGCCTGGATGACAAACTCCTCACTCAACACAAATATTCCCTTCCTGCTCCTGTATTCTGTACTTTTCAAAGCCCTTTGGACCCCTGAGTCCCCCAATTCGGATGCCTTAGGATGACAGCATCTCTGTGTACTTCAGGGCCCACTCTTCAGAGAACTCGATTCTTACCTACCAACTCTGGTCTCCTAAATATCGGCCTTGAGTAGCAAGTAATGAAGACCATATTTAGGTAATGAGACAAGGAAATGAGATGTCACTTTCACTTCTTAGGAGTTGGTACACATTTTAAGGCCCAAAAACCTCTTTAATTACTTATTCCCTGCTGGTGTATTCCTTCCTTTTCTCTGTTCTTTCTTCTCCATTCATAAAGTTAATTTTAAAAAACTAAAAAAAAATATTGCTGACTTTTCAGTACTGCGTTCTGGATGGTTTTCTAAAAACCCTTCTAGAGGAAAATCAAGGTCTTTCATTTACTTACCTAAACATAGCCAACCAAGGATTTATTAGAAAGAGCTTCACTATTTGAGTATTTTATTTCATGTTAGTTGTAACACAAATATTTAAAAATACGTATACTGAAAAATAAAATAAATCAAGTCTCCTGGTGTACTTGGGGGCTTTGAATCCAGAAGCATATAAGTTATCACGTCATATCCAAATTATGTAGAGCTCCTAACTAAGATATTCATTATGATTTCAAACTACAAAAACCTATTTTCTGTCATATTTTTGCTTTATTTATTAATGTAAAGCTTATCTAAATTAGAGATTACAACAAAGTTATGAAAATGAAAATTATATAATTTTATGAGATGATTATCATTGTTATTAGCAATTTTTTAAATGTGAGTAATCACATTTTATGATTAATACTGAGTACTTGTTAAAATTTTATTAAAGTAGTTATTAACTACAGTACAGGAACACTTAAGAGGTTTGTTTTTTTTTTTCCTCCTCAAATGAAATCTCTTTTAGTTAACTTCAATGAGTGAGGTAGATAAGAATGTTGAATTCTCAGGAATAACAATTACTAAAAATTATCATAAATTGAATAATGCAGCTATACCTTGATTAACAAATCATCTGGTAAAAATGGAATCCTCTTAAAGTCATTCAGAATAAAAATGAGTTTTACAAATTTTTCCTTATCAGTTGTTTGGCTGATGACAATGTGGCACTCACTGGCATTCTCTCAGGTGGAGGCCTTGTAGTAGTAGATCTTGGTCTTCTGTACTGTTTTGTGATTTTTTTCCTCTGGTAATTAGACTTCAGAAAATGATGTAAAAGAGGGATACAGCATTTTTGCTTACAGACCATTATTTTAAGAAAAGTTCTTGTATACATATTAATTTGCATTCTATGCAAGTAATACCTAAGACTTTAATGCAAGACAAGCTGCATTTGTTAACCTGAGCTCAAGTGCATTATATTCTGAAAAAGCAGATAGTGATTATGCCACATGAGGTGCCTTCAACTCAGGTTACAATCGGATAACATTCATAATGGTCTCTTTTTGTTAGTTCTTATTCCTCACTTGATATAACAACAACAGTTAAAACATTTATCTTTAATAAACATTTTATAAACATAAAATGAAATGAGCATTATACATATATATATATGTGTGTGTGTGTGTGTGTGTGTGTAGCAGATGAAATATATATAACTAAATGTATACATATGAGAAAGACAGAGGGTGAGAAAGAAGATTCATACATATATATTTATATATGACATTTGTGTAGCAATAATGTTACTTTGCATTTATATTTCCAAATTTACAAAAACTCAATCTTATTACTTTATAGGTTTTATGCCCACATTGTACTACCCATTTTTCAGATGCTATATATAATCAGGTAGATTTAAGTTATATGTCCAAGATAACAGAACTCATAAACAGCTGAATTTAACTATTATGATTGTCTGATTTTTCACACCTAAAAGCTTACAACATCACACACAGAGAAACACACACACATACACCATATATGCACACATGATTTTAGTTATATCATTTAATGTTCTATGTTGTTTCTCTTGAGAGAACTTTATGTAACCCTAGCCTGCCTGTCTTAGTATATGTGTTGCTGAGGTAAGCACTTAGGCTGCCTAAAAATATTGTACCCATGGGGCTACATACTGTAGGTGATGTTTCTCATAATATATTTATCGTCACTTACATTTTAGAATTACAGTTTAGCTATAGAATAAGAAAAATAAGGTGAACATTCTAAAATCACATTGTGAGGAACAATTACCTTAATGACAGATGTCTCAACTCTGGATGGAGGAGTCTGAACTTGTGCTGCTGCCGCCATATTTGCAATGGTGCTGAGGTGGTTCATCTGGCTCATTGCCATGGTGACAGATGCTGGAGGTAGGCTGACAGGAATTAGAGGGTGGGGCATCATCATAAAAGGAAGTTCCAGTCCTATAAAAAATACACATAGAGCATCATCACTCTGTTTCAAGTTAAACCACAAAATATGGTCTATCTCACTGATTAAAGTTATTATGGACATAAATCATTAAATTGTAGACAATAAAAATAGTTTAATAATGGCAGTCAAAGAAAAAAATTCATTCTCTTTGTATGCAATAACACCCATTCACCACTCAGGGAAATTAAACATACAACTAACCAACTTGGTACCATGGTTTATCATACCCCCACGCTGCATGTTTTAAACCATATGATTCATTCTTTGCTATACTATTTCTCCGATGAGTCTAAATTCTTATTTAAAATACGAGAGTTTTATTTAACTTATCATGAGTAGCTGTCTCAACGCAGTACATCCATTTATGAGGTTCTATTTTACTGTCGGACATAAAAAAGTTAAGTTTTGAAAAGTGCCATTTTTAGTGCTAAAAAAACGCCATCGTACCATTTGGCAGCAGGTGGCTGTGCCGAAGGTGGTTGAGAGGATGACTAACTGGAAGGCTATGCGCTGCAGGCATGCGGGGGTGGGAAACAGTGGCCTGAGATCCCTGAGATGGGTAAGAGTGCAGTGTTTCCTTATCCCAAGAACCATCACTGCTGCCTGTGGGAATGAATATAAATTACTCGGATACAGGATTATCCCAAATCTTCCCATGACTAACTTGAAATAAGGTTGTAAAAAGTACATCACATTTGGATATTGACAGACAGATTTCCAGGGTAATGAGCTGAGGGAAGTACATTTCCTCTAAACTGCATTTTCTTTTCCCTTATTTCTCAGATAAGATCACAAGTCTTTGACAAAGAATATTTCTGTAACATTCAACCTATTTCTGGAGTCCACTCCCAAGCTTAATGTTAAATGGGCTCTGTTATGTAATTAGATAATGAGTTCTTGAAACTGAAGTACACTGATGGTTATAAAATGCAAAGCTATCCTGGTAGTCAGTGGTACGCTACTTACCACCCAGAGTTACAGTCTTTAACTCAGTTCTACCACAAATGCTAAAAATGGAATCTTTAAGTAGCCAATTTGGTCAGACACTGTACAGAGAACACAAAAGATAACTTTGTGAAAGATAATGTCATAGCAAAATATTTAATGTGTGTAAATAAACGTGGATTTTCAAACAAAAAGAAATTAATGTAGTCTTATGACATATCACTGTCAAAATCAAAACTATCCCATTGTGGGCTTGTATTTTTTAAAATTGGTGGCAATGTCTTGGATTTAACTAGATCCTTAAATATTTCAGTAGGACACTCCTTAGAAAATGTTTACAGAGCATTTCAATTTAGACACATCTTCAAATCAAACCAACGTTAATTTATTCTGTAACAGAATCTGTTGAATATAAAACCATCCTTTTTTAAAAGTCTATAATATCCCTGTTAGCTTATAGTTTTTCTTTTTCTAAGTAGAAGAGGAAAAAGAAGGAAGTGGAGGAGGAGGAGCAAGAGAGAAGGAGGAGGAAGAGGAAGAGAAAGGAAGAAACCACAGTTTTATAGAGCATGCGTGAAAACAGCAAAGTTGGTAAAACTCCAATTTAATGCTTTATCTCCACTAAAAGCCTCATTGTAAAAAATCTCGGCGACATAGTTTTTAATGAAGAATACTTAGGTACTGCCATGATTTCTTTCCATTTACTTCATGAAGACAGTTAAGTTTCAATATAAATTCAAACTCATTAGCTCAATACTGTCTGGATCTTAGAGTAAATTGTTCAGAAGTGGGTAATGAAAACTCAATTCAAATCCTTCAGCAATCAAACAAAGCAATTTTATTAAACAATGAAAAAATCAATTAAAGTGGATATCTTTATTATCTTTATTATTTTATAAGGATCTATGACAGCTTTTGGCTTGAAAAAAGTTTATAGCTTCATACAGAAATGACTCATATAAAAGAAAATTCTCTAGTCTGCTTCTATACTGTGATAATAATTCACCAATTTATAAACCTCATTCTTCTACTCATAAATTTTTGGATAATATTAGCAGCCAGATATGCAAAAATTATACATATGTTCATTTTTCAAATGTATATGTCTAAAGGATTTTATGGTAAATTATTTTAGATGTCACTTTACAATGCCTTTATCAAAGGATGTGCAACCATTTGTTACATATTTCATCGATAAAATGTGTGAAATTTGATATATAAATTTAAGATATAAAGCACAGTGTGAAATTATAGTTAAATAACTTTGAAAAGAGATGATAGATAAAATACTACTTATTTAATTTCTCTTTTGCATTACAAGATATCTGTCCTTTTCATATAGGTAAATATCAATCATCCACATGTGAATTTTCCATAGCAAGTTTTTAATACTAGATTGGATTGCTCACTTTATAAAAAGCTCCTAGACATCTCCACCAATCATCATTTTTTTAAATACTCGTGCTGTGAACTCACTTGGGAATAGAGCAATTAAGAAACTAAGTCTGATGAAAAATATACAATATATCACCGAGTCAGCTGTAAGTGATTTTTCATTATTTATAATATCCTTCTTTTCTATTAACATGAATAAGCAAGAAATGAAAAAAGGCCATTCAGAAAAAGACATGCTCATTACAACATTGTGAAATGTGTAATTTCAGGTGCTTTGGATATATAGAGAAAAAAATGTATATACATATATATGACATTATATATTTTTTCAACTATTTTTGTCACATTTCCCTTTTCTGTACCTTCATGATCTGTTATAGTTTGAGTTTTACAAATCCAGTATAGTGAATGTTCATCTGTCTCCCCATGCCATTAGTAAATATAACCTCCTATGTGCACAAGTCCCCAACAGTGGAAATCTCTAGCTCAAGCTCTGCTAAGTTCTCTAAGCTCCCACTGCTTCTCTATACTTCTCCTACTGAAATATTGTACGTAGATTCTCTTGATTTAAGGATGTCTTCTTTCTCCACTCTGCTACTGCTCTCCAGTCTTATGGGCTCAAATATGTATAGATAACAGATCAGCAGTTCACATCAAAGGAGAAATCCAGGGATGACATATGCACAGGCACCTGCAGTCCTTGAGTAAATCCCTTGGAACTCCACCTTCTTTACCTTTAACAATGAGGAAATACACTAAAAAAAGATTACCTACTCATTACACACTATCTCTTCACTAAGATGATTTCAGCAAATCTCCTCTCCCTGTGGTAGCCCCCTCTGATGAAAAGAGGAAGACATTCAGACATTCATGTTCCTGGAATATGGCGTGATATTTTAAGATAACAATGCTGTCTCCGCTGCTGTTAATAAGGACCAACTGTTTTTTACTTTCTTTAAAATAAGTAGTATCTGGCACTTTTGCTCTTGTAAGGGAACAAAGGAGAGATTCTATTTACTGTCCTATTATGTAATCTTACCTAATGCAACCTACAAGAAACATGGCTGCACTATAAACCACACTTTAGCAATTAGTTCTTAAAAATAAACTGAAATACGTGGAAAATGTAAATGTTCCACATTTGAAATGTTCTTTCACAAATTAACTGAAACTTTAAAATGATTAAGACAAAAGTTCAAAGAAAACAATTCTATGAATAAGAGAATTTTCACTAATAAAAGTTTTGCTACAAAAGAAAAATAAAATGCAAAAAAAAGATTGAATGCAGAGATACCAATTATTATAAGAAGAAAGATGATTACTTAAATTTTTGCAACAATTTCTGGTAGTAAAGGAAATGAAAAGTGTTTTGGGGAGGAATAGTGATAGTTTTACCTCAATAGAAATGCAAAGAAAAAATGAATTTTGTGTACATGAGTGGCAGCAATTCTAATCCTAGTCAAAATAATTACATTTATTATTTAATTCATTCTTATCATTCCTAACTAAATCCAAAAGGTAAGACACACTACTTTTAAATAAATTGTGGATAGAATGAATTATAAATAATTCCATACAAAATCAGAATGACTTGTAAAAAATTCCTTTTAAGTCATCATGTGTTAAAACAGTAAAAGTATATTTGAATATTACAATACTTTGTATATGGGTGACATGTCTCTAGTTGTGATTTTCCCACAGGCTGACCCTGATAAAGAAGGCAAATCTCAAAGGGAATAACGGTCACAGCACTATTTAGTGAGTGACACTGATAGATTGTGACAGGAACCTGACATTGTCAAGATTAGTTTACAATGAAAATGATGGCAAGAGCAGACTCCTACTTCATACCATTGGAGACCACTTAGAAGGCTGTCAACTCCATCTTAACAATAAAAACACGACTACTGAGTAAAGGCAAATACTAGTTACAGGGTCCTATTCAGCTGTTAATTCAGAGGTAGGTGAAAATAAATGTTATGTTTAGTAGATTAGTTTCAATTAATAAAAATGAGGTAAGTGTCATCATTGATGCTAATATTTTACATAAATATTAGAAACAGGTCTTTCACATAGTGTAGTTTTTACTTTGTTTTTTTGGCTAACTACCTAAGCCTAACTGACCTACTTTCGTATAGTTTGTTGAAATCTATAGAGTTTTAGTTTGATGTTGTTAAATTGCTTTATATTCAATGTGAACAGAAGAAATATTTTTAACTTTTAAATTTATTTTAACTCATATAAGTGTATATTATCTTTGCCTTTTGTTCTTTAGGTGCTTAGGATATAATCTATGGCTTTGCCCATTTTAAGTTCAAGCTTTGCCACTAAGCTATATCCCAGCTAAACTGGAACATTTTTAATTGTGCCACTAATTAATTAAGTACAGCATTTTAACCAAGAAAACACTGTATCTGCCACTTAATTGGTATTGTAAAATATTGCTCACTGAGTAGGTAAGCTATTTCCAAAATCTAAAATTTATATTTGTACACATACCATGTTTGATTTGGTAGTACTGTGAGAAAACTTAACTACTTGGCTGTCATGTTACCAAAATTACTTGGTTTAACTTCTGACAGATTTGTTTTATTTATTTATTTTTTGGGAAAGAATAGTACTGTGAATTCTAATTACTCCATTACCAATAAATATATCATTTAGGGAAATATGTTCCTTTCCAAAAATAATGGGATATATTTTCTTTGGCTATCTTTCATTAATTAAACCTTACTACGTTATCTGAGCATAAGATATTTGTTAATTAAGCATGTGAAATCTTTTTATACAATGGAACTTCTATTTTACTGATGATGTTTTCTTTTGAATGCAGAGCTGTTTTATTTTTCCTACATTGGTGATAAGATGAGCGCTATTAGTGTTGTTGTTCACATCAGAATGCTGCTAATCCTCATTTCTTCACCTACTTAGGATATTTCTATTGCTCTACATATTTCCTAATGTTGAAAGCAGGAATAAGTTAACACACTACCCAAAGTGACACATGAAATAATGGAAACTAGAACTCCTTATTTTTAATTTTTTTTAATATTCTTCATCATAGCTAATGGCTGTTGAACTATAAAGATTAGAAAAAAAATTGCAAAATAAGGCCAACTTTCAAGTTACTTATGCCAGATGAAATATATTTAACAGTTACATAATGAATAGGCAGATATTACTAAAAATCGATTAGAGCTTTTTCCTAAGAATCTTTGGAGAATTATGGAAAAGAGGAACCACATTAGAAAACTGAAAATAGA